ATATATATATATATAAATTGAAATGAAGATAAAACTAAAATAATTCTTTAAAAACATCGCATCGCTCAAGTATGTAATGGTGGAGTACCTGTACCGTATGCATTGAATGATAATAGGTTACACCAATGACTTAGTAAGCTATTCGATTAAAGTTAGCTCATACTAGACAGGGTGCTTAAAACATACCTTAGCATTTTCAACTTCTATGAATATACAACTTAGCGTGTCATACTGCAATATGTTTTGTCGTAGACAATGTAAGCCGTTTGTATAGTAAATTTGGCGAAATATTCTGTTGAAATACTTTTGCCACCAAACATTAAAAAGTAGTCATTGATTCAGATAGATTCCACCATGAGTTGTGTTTTGATATCTTTGAATTATGTTCCTCAGTTAGGTACGGCCATTTTAAAATTCAGATATCTAAAAAGTTACCTTGAAGAAAATTATTTTATAAATAAATAGCTGATAAATAGTCTGTTTTCTAATTGTTTTTCTTAACAATTTTGAAAAAAATATATATAAAACAGATTTACTTAATGTTTAATCTTTAATGCGTCGCAAAAGAGAGAAAAATCTTATCTAATTTAATTTTAGATTTATACCAACACTTACACTATCTTACTGGTGATGCAATACTTGTATTTAGTAATATATTAATACTATTTTAAATATTCAACTTAAAGTGATAGATATTTAAGCAAGAATGAATTTTATTGAACTAGCTTTTAATAATTTATCCAAGTTATGTGAACATTTTAGGTTTTAAATAGGCCTACATATAGTTTATTCTTAATATTTTATATATAAAAAAAATCCGTCCTTAAATATTTTTTATTGTTACCATTGTCAAATTATTGTTGTCGTTATTTTTATCATTATATTGGTACAGTAAAATTTAAGATAAAATGAAAAGCACTGTTGCCAAAATTTTATTTGAAAATGTGGCCATGAATCCCACAAGAGAAAAAAAAAGCTCTAACGCATCAAAAAAATAGTTTTATGTACATAACATGTGCAGTAAGAAATATAAGTATTATAATACTATAGCCTACACTTTTTCTGAGTATAGCCAGTATACGATACTATCGTAACGTTAAAATTCAAAGCCGGACAACGTGCTAAAGTGGTTTAATAGTAAACTACGAGTAATCTTAACAAAGTAATCCCTGGTATTACTTATTATTGTAGTTTTCTTTAAAATCAAAAATACATAAATACAAATAGTTGATCAGTTAGTATAAATTAAAATTTTCCTTGAATACTTCATAAGAAAATTTTTTTTCAGAAAATCGACGTTGTTGTCTGACGACATTAAAGTGCCTCGCGAGTGTAAAGTGAATGAGTACATCTAGGGTTTTCCACAAACTTTGCAAACGTTGCTAGACACTGATGTTGCATTTGAAGAACACGAAAATTGACTGCCATTTCGGCATACTCTGATTACTGGAACATCATTTTCAAATCGTTTCCCTAAAATATACATTAAAAAAACAGTAAAATATATTAAAACCAATGTGTATGTTTAATTGCTCAAGAGTACGGAATTAATGCTGGTTTCCTGTCGACTAGGTGTGACACCCTTTATAATACAGTACAGTAATATATTGCTGTACAATAATAATTTTCTATCTTTAAAAAAATGTGTAAAATAAGTACAAATTACGTGTAAGAACATTTTGAGCCAGAAATTGGCCAAAAAAAAAAAATAAATAAAAATAAGCACACTGAGCCTCAGCAAAATAGTTCTGGTTCTTACAAAAAAAAAAAAAAAATGTGTAGAACTAATAATGAGTATAATAGCTTGGCATCAGCTTTATTTGTTATTTTATGTTAGTGTACGATTATAAAAAATCGTATTATAACAATAACACTTAGTTTCGTAATAATTACACAATTTAAAATGGGTCGTCATAAAGGCTACGTCATAATTATTGTCACTGATTGGCTGCGTTTCAAGATTTCTTGGCGCGAAATTTCGTAAGAGACGTAAGACAACGCAACACAAGTGTGTTTACTCAAGTATAAATCACTGAATCTTGGTTTTCTGTCAACTCGTGGAAAATAAAGTTATCGCTAGAAAATTCAATACGTCAATTTTTAGTCCAACACTGTTCTACGACTACTTAAGCTTACGATACGTCAATTTTATTGCGGTAAAACGACGTAAACGTAAGTAAAACTGCCTTCTTACGTCGACAGGAAACCAAGCTTTAAGAAGTCAGAATTAATTACGATCATAGAGAAAATAGAACAGTCCTATTTTCTCTATGTTACGATTGCGTCGTTTTAGACAAGAAAAATGTAATTTAACGTGAAACCGGTTGCGATGTTCGTTTTGCGAAATCTACGTAACAAGTGGGGGTAGTTGGGAGGTTTCTAGAATAATTGCAATTAGATTTAATCAATTAAATTTATTATATCAATTAGCCCTGCTTAATAAGGTATTGCCAATTTTCTGCTAATTTCAATAAACAACTTTTAATTTTTCCATTGTATTTCTTCAGAGTACTGAATTCTAAATTTTATCTCTTGTTTATATTAAATAACCCAAACTTGAATACAATTTTAACATTTAAACTATGTTTTCAACGTATGTGTTATACTGTATAATATGGAGTAATGATTTTTTTTTCTGTTTGTAACATAAAAATCGATAAGATGAAAGTTATAGAAAATCAAGATTCGTAGGCTCAACACGTACAGGACTATAGGTTATTGTATTAAATTGAACGGTGAAATTATCCTCGAATTTTGCTTGGTTATTTTAAATGCTACTCAGAATTTGTACCCTGGTCAGGTAATCTGCAAGAATGTTAATGAAAAGAATGATTTTAGACTCCAATATAAAGTCGCTTTTAATTTGTGCAATTAATACACTAACCTGTTGACGTTAAACTCTTTATGTTTGAATTATACAGGTACTGTATCAATTTGTAATGTTTGTCTCTGTGGATAAATTATACTTATAGCCCTTTTAAAATGGCTGTAGGTTTTTTAATAACAAAGAGTTACTCTCACAAAATAGTGTTAGCATAAATACAGAGCCACCAACACCACTACCACTACAGTTCGCCCTCCAATTCGAGACCACCCTTGTGACCTGAAAATTTGGAGTGTTCTCGGGGTTAATCTACAATTGACATGTCGACAAGGACACGAAGCCCGCCCACAAAGTCAAGAAAACCTTCGACAATGGTGGCTAGACTTACCGAGTTGGTGAACATTTTCTTTGTTATCAACCTTCTTTAAGAAAGAGAATTCAGGGTAGGCGGTATGCAAATAAATCATATATTCATAGTGTTAATCTATTTCATGGAACATGGCGGGGAAATTGTTGTAAAAGCCTCTGCATTTCGCTCCCAAAGGAAGGGGGAAAAGCCACATTCAGTCAACCTGGTCGGCAAAGGCCAAGTCACTGATGCGCACTGCTCGTTCTGGGTGTCTATAACCAAGCACAGACATCTAGGCCTAGGTTCACGTATGTTTCGCATTTAAACCAGCTGTCTAAGAAAATTAAAATGTCGGAGAAAAGTTTTTGATTACATGACTAAATGACGCTCGCTGATTAGACGGTTTATCTGTCAATCAAATCTTGTCGAGATGTTAATTGCGAGAACCTCTAATTTGAGACCACTTTTTCAAAGAACAGAATAACAATCTTCCATCTATTGACACAAAGCTAATCCTCTATGTGGAGACCGAACACCGAGGCCACCCCATATTTTCAGGTTCCAAAGGTGGTTTTAAATTAGACATGGTGAATTAGTGGTGATAGAGAGAAAGTAATCATGAGAAAAGGGGTCAGAATCAGTCAACAAAAAAAACAAATGAAGGAAAACACTACACAGTACACAGAAGTTACATGTAAACATTGTACAAGGAACGACTGTTGAAATAACGCTTTATAAATGATTGATTTATATATTTATTTATACTATATTTTTTTAACATCTCTTTCCTCTCGAGGCGTACTCTGTGCTTGCTGCAAGAGAAATAGAATTAAAGAAAATACGTGATGGTGAGCTGTCTAGCAAGAGGAAGCCAGCACCCCCACCTGGAACTAAGGAAAGGGCATTTCATCGCTACTGGCAAATGATACACAATGAAAAACATGTAGAGAAGATATCTGAAGAAGATGACTTCACCCCGGAACCGATTAAGAAACGTGCTCAGCCAGAACCCAAGTGGGATTCAGGTAGCCGCAACAATTGCTTCTCTTTTCCTGGTGTTTTATTGTCTGTGTGTGTCTTTTGTCTACAGTAATTGTTTTAATTAAATGTTACATTAAAACATGTAATGAACAGGCACATTTCAGCCTCCAATATTGCTGGATCCTAAGAAAATTGTATTTGTATCTATAATCTATTTATATTTATTATATGTAAATATGTAACAGCTAATTTACAAAATCTTTTTCCCCTTTTTAAATATTTTGATGTTTAATTTGACTATGTTTTCCTAACTTAATTGTAACAAAACTAAATACCTTTATCATCTACACATAACATGATAGTTTGTTTTTATGCCTTCCTTTTTATACTAGAATTTGAGCCAGCAGGGTTTTTCCCACACCATTCCGTATGCAAACCTGTTGTACCTGAATCAAACGATGACGGCTCTGAGTCTCCAGCGAAGAGGGAGACTCCATATCCGATACATCCAATGGGATTCATTCCAAATTCTGTATTGGTTCGACTTTTGTGGCCTCCGGAGGTGACACAGAAGGCCGCTGAGGATAGGTACAAGCCTCCTGCATTGACTGATGAGCGATAGATTGCGGGTTCGCAATTCCCACAACTGACCTCTTTTTTTATACAACTAATTAATAACTTTCGTTGATAAACTGTTTGGTACGATATAACAGAGTGGCGGAGAGTGAGGTTCCGGGAGACAAGCATACTCTGTGACAGTAACAGAATACTACTGTAATGGGTCATGGCCTACAAAGGGCCAGCTAACCTGCCTAGGCTTAAGACTAGGTTAAACTCGGCTTAGCTTAACTAACCTTCAATTAAATAAAATTCTATTTTATTATCTATTTGATGTGTGTGTGTGTGGAAGGGGGTGGGGCAGGGGTTATGTGTGTATATATTATATAGCATAATTTTTTTTAGATATCTAAGTTTCTGGGAAGGATAATGATAATTATATAGAACAATGTAGGCATATCTACATACCAGTGGTCTGTCCTTTTGCTCCAGACGTCAGTGGTACTGTCGTTATTTTGGCTGTTGTTGATTCTGTGTAAAATAAATAATAATACTGTAACACAGGTCTTAGGAACTGTAATAATATATCGTACGGGCCTCTGTAGTCTAAAGATTATGACGCTCACCGAGACAGCGATAGATTAGGGGTTCGATTCCCACAACTGACCTCTTTTTTCATATAACTATATAAATAACTTTCGTTGAAAAACTGTTGTGTGTGTATATTTTATATCATAATTTTTTTTAGATATCTATGTCTCTGGGAAGGATAATGATAACTACATGACGAAATTGTTCCCCTTAGAAGAAACGGTCACTGGTGGGTTGGATGATTGATTGCTAATTGCCTGCATGCTCCCTAAACGGCCTTCACAAACAGTAAACAAGACCTTGGTAGTAGGAGAAAATCGGACACAGTTCAGCCAGTACTGCTCCAATCATGGTCAAATTTCAGAAAGTATACACAATTTCTGAATCTAATGTTATTATTTAAAACACAAAATGTTTTAAACCAAAATCCGACCATAATGAAAAAAGACAGTAGCTGTACGTCTGTGGATTTACTTTACTTTTTTCACGAATTTCGCGAACGTAAAACCGTGACTTGGCGATCGGGAGAATAGTAGCCAGAAAGATGCATCGATATTTAAATAGTTCTCAAAAGACAATAATGGTAATGGTCATTTTCAATACACATATGTATTGAAAATGACATGGGTGTTCATGCTGGCCTAAATAAATATAAGAATACGATTCTTTCTAGCCTATTCTATTTATTTTATGATCGTGTGGCGTACAACAGCAATGTTTACTCACATTCCCGGCTATCCAGGGGCTATTCTACAGCTTACAGCTGATGTATTTCAATCTAGGCTCAGAGAGTAGTAAATCTCTATTTTATAGGGCCTACGAATCGAGCGATGAATATTTAGTTGACAGTTAGAATTTAGGAAAAAAGAATAACTTGTCATGTATTAAAATCAAATGCTAAATTGATTTTATAACTGATATTCTGTATCTTCGTTGCATACGATTTACAGACGATTACTCGCTCTCACGGCCAGTGCACAACGTCACGAACGAACGAGAAGCCCATGTGCTTGAGTCGTGGGCTATTTAGAACCGTCCATTTTGTGGCAGGGTATTCAATATGTATTATAACTATAAATACACATGCCTAAACATTACCACATTTAAACATGTGTATTAACCGTTATAATAAACATGTTTAAATATTATATTAATATTCAAACACGTGCACTAACCGTTATAATACACATGTTTAAATATTATTATAATAAGCTTCACCGGGCATACAATCGTTCAGTCTTGGGATGCCAGGGGTAAGCGCTTCAGTTCAATCTTATTATTTTTGTTTTATGCATCATAATTTTCCCAATTTTTAGGTGTGAACACAATTTGTATTTTCTTTTTAATTATACTGTGGTATAGACAAGAAGAACAATTCCCTGTAAAAAATATTTGCGGGAAATTCAGTAGTTGCTTCTGTTCGTTACGGACTGCCAATGCACTTTTTGACATCAAACCACACCTAAACATGCGCTCCCAATTATAACTTCTTTTTATTGAAAATGTAGGAATATGTTAAGAGAGTATTAATTGTTGTAGCCTAGAGTGTAGGCTTATTCATTACGTTTGCCGTGCCTGACCATTGTAAACGAAATTTCTCTTGCTCACTCTAGATCACTCTTCCTAGGCCTAACTACAATATACTAGTACACGACCTTCGCAGGCCGCCGGCAGCGGGTAATAAGTTTTAGGTAAGTAGCGAATCTGTCACCCGACCTGTCACTTGTGACAGGGGGTTGGATGATCGATTACCCGAGTAGGTCGGGTAGCAGGACCAAATTCACAAGGGAAGGATTTTAATGATAATTATACAGAACAATGTAGGCATATCTACATACCAGTGGTCTGTCCTTTCGCTCCTGACGTCATTGGTACTGTCGTCACTTTGGCCGTTGTTGATTCTGTGTAAAATAGATAATAATACTGTAACTTCGGTCTTAGAAACTGTAATAATATATCGTACGGGCCTCTGTAGTCTAAAGATGACTCACCGAGACCGCGATAGATTGCGGCGGGTTCGATTCCCACAACTGACCTCTTTTTTCATACAAATAATAAATAACTTTCGTTGATAAACCGTTTGGTACAATATAAAACAGCGGTGGATATAGTGAGGTTTAGGGGGACAAACCCACTCTGTAAAGAACAGTAACAGAACTACTGTAATGGGTCATGGCCTACAAAGGGCCAGCCTGCCTAGGCTTAAGACATATTGGCATATAGACAAACTAGGCTTAGCTTAACTAACCTGCAATTAAATAAAATTATATTTTATTATCTATTTGATGTGTGTGTGTGTGTGTGTGTGTGGAGGGGTGGGGGCTGGGGTTGTGTGTATATCATAATTTCTTTTAGATATCTAAGTCTCTGAAGGATAATGATAATTATATAGAACAATGTAGGCATATCTACATACCAGTGGTCTGTCCTTTTGCTCCTGACGTCAGTGGTACTGTCGTCACTTTGGCCGTTGTTGATTCTGTGTAAAATAAATAATAATACTTCAACACAGTCAATATTAATGAAACAATTAAAGGTAATACAAAATGCCCTATATTATTACCTCTGAGGTTACATTTCTGATATTGAATGGAAGGATCCTTTATATTTTCGTGACGATCAGGAGTAGAGTATGGATGTGGAGACCATTAAAAAACAACGCTACTCATTTTTATTTTATATTTTTTTGTTAATTATTATGTTGTTGTTGAGCGACTCGAGGTTGTTAAAATTAGGCGCTATAAAAATATTTATTATTATTATTATTATTATTAATATTAATATTATTATTATTATTATTGTTAATATTAATATTATTATTATTATTATTATATTACAGTTTTATATTATATTATTATTATTATTATTATTATTATTATTATTATTATTATTATGTGTATGGCTGGCTGGGTTGTGTGTATTTGCATGCATGTGTGTTGTTGTACTGATGTATTCAATGAAATTGTTAGTAATCATATCTACCTACCTGTTGTCTGTCTCTCTTCGTATGATGTTGTTGTAGTAAGTCTTGACACTGTTGCCAATGAATGTAAACGTAAGCCTAATCAGAGTTTCAGCATTCGTATTATCCACGTTATAAGAGCTGTGTTCGTGTTAGCCACGTTATAAGAGCTGTGTTCGTGTTAGGCACGTTGAAGAACTGAGTTCGTGTTAGCCACGTTGAAGAGCTGAGTTCGTGTTAGCCACGTTAGAAGCGCTGTGTATTCTTATTATTCTTTTATTTGTTTATTACTATTATTATTGTTATTATTGTTATAACCAGTTATTATTGCATTGCCTTGAAGTGTTGATTGTAAATTGTTAAAGTGATAAAGATAGGCCTAATTGATAGTCATGCAAGCAAAATTGTCTTTATATCCAATACTGAATAATTGTTTGTAGTACCGATGGTGATAGACAGAATTGATTATCGCAATTTGTAAACTAATGATCTACTGTTCTATGTTGATGCTATGGTTAACTGTATCGCTGAAATTACTACTTGTAAGCTGTGATAATAGTAGCGTTATTATTCTTGAGCTATACATTGATAAATTATATAATATTGGAGATCAATGTGTAGATTAATAATAATGAGCTTAGTAGTTTAGTGGTTATTATTGTTGTGAATCATTACACATTGATATATATATTATACATTATTGGAGATCGATATGTAATATAATGATAGTGAGCATAACCGTTTAGTAATTGTTATTGTTGTGAACTGTTCGATTAGCATACATTAATATATTAAATATTATTGGAGATCAATGTGTACTTTATTGATAATGAGCACAATTAGTTAAATATCATTGCTATGAATTGTTTATGAATGACAAGTTAATGGTAATATTATATTGTTATTATTATGGATATTATTATAAAATTGGAGATCGTTGTTCAGTATATTAATGGTAATGTGCACAACTAGTTAATTATGTGATACAAAGTGTTAAGGGTATAAATTGCGAAAGTTAGGTGGACTTATTGCTAATGTGATGTGTTGTGGTTAATAGAGTTTAACCCGAGTTTATTGCCGAGGTCCTGTCTCTGTTTTGGAATTCTGGGAGAACTTGTGACACAAACCCACTCTCTAAAGAACAGTAACAATACTACTGCAATGGGCCATGGCCTACAATGGGCCAGCTAACCTGCCTCGGCTTAAGAAAGTTGGCAAATAAGATAAACTAGGCTTAGCTTTACCTTCAATTAAATAAAATTCTATTTTATTATCTATTTGATGTGTGTGTGTGTGTGTGTGTGTGTGTGTGGAAGGGGGTGGAGGAGGGGGTTGTGTGATTTATATAGGCCCTATATTATATATCATAATTTTTTTTAGATATCTAAGTCTCTGGGAAGGATTTTAATGATAATTATATAGAACAATGTAGGCATATCTACATACCAGTGGTCTGTCCTTTTGCTCCTGACGTCAGTGGTACTGTCGTCACTTTGGCCGTTGTTGATTCTGTGTAAAATAAATAATAATACTGTATACATGGGTCTTAGAAACTAATAATATATCCTACGGGCCTCTGTAGTCTAAAGAGTATGACGCTCACCGAGACAGCGATAGATTGCGGGTTCGCGATTCCCACAACTGACCTCTTTTTTCATACAACTAAATAATAACTTTCGTTGATAAACTGTTTGGTACGATATAACAGAGTGGCGGAGAGTGAGGTTCCGGGGGACAAACATACTCTGTGACAGTAACAGAATACTACTGTAATGGACCATGGCCTACAAAGGGCCAGCTAACCTGCCTAGGCTTAAGACTAGGTTAAACTAGGCTTAGCTTAACTAACCTTCAATTAAATAAAATTCTATTTTTTATCTATTTGATGTGTGTGTGTGTGGAAGGGGGTGGGGCAGGGGTTGTGTGTGTATATATATTATATATCATAATTTTTTTTAGATATCTAAGTCTCTGGGAAGGATAATGATAATTATATAGAACAATAATGATAATTATATAGAACAATGTAGGCATATCTACATACCAGTGGTCTGTGCTTTTGCTCCAGACGTCAGTGGTACTGTTGTTATTTTGGCCGTTGTTGATTCTGTGTAAAATAAATAATAATACTGTAACTTCGGTCTTAGAAACTGTAATAATATATCGTACGGGGCTCTGTAGTCTAAAGAGTATGACTCACCGAGACTGCGATAGATTGCGGCGGGTTCGATTCCCACAACTGACCTCTTTTTTCATACAACTAATAAATAACTTTCGTTGATAAAGCTTTTAGTTAAAAATAAAACAGTGGTGGATATAGTGAGGTTTAGGGGGACAAACCAACTCTGTAAAGAACAGTAACGCGAACTACTGTAATGGGTCATGGCCTACGAAGGGCCAGCCTGCCTAGGTTTCAGAAGGTTGGCATATAGACAAACTAGGCTTAGCTTAACTAACCTGCAATTAAATAAAATTATATTTTATTATCTATTTGATGTGTGTGTGTGTGTGTGTGTGGAGGGGTGTGGGATGGGGTTGTGTGTATATCATAATTATTTTTAGTATCTGGGAAGGATAATGATAATTATATAGAACAATGTAGGCATATCTACATACCAGTGGTCTGTCCTTTTGCTCCTGACGTCAGTGGTACTGTCGTTATTTTGGCCGTTGTTGATTCTGTGTAAAATAAATAATAATACTTCAACACAGTCAATATTAATGAAACAATTAAAGGTAATACAAAATGCCCTATATTATTACCTCTGAGGTTACATTTCTGATATTGAATGGAAGGATCCTTTATATTTTCGTGATAAAAAGGAGTAGAGTATGGATGTGGAGACCATTAAAGAACAACGCTACTCATTTTTATTTTTTATTTTTTTGTTTATTATTATGTTGTTGTTGAGCGATTCGAGGTTGATAAAATTAGGCGCTATATAAATATTTATTATTATAATTATTATTAATATTATTATTATTATTATTATTATTATTATTGTTAATATTATTATTATTATTATTATATTACGGTTTTATATTATTATTATTATTATTATTATTATTAATATTATTATTATTATTATTATTATTATTATTGTTAATAATATTATTATTATTATTATTAT